GTGAGTACTAACATGAATCGGCCTTCTCACAAACTAAACTGTAGATCTTTGTGCTGGAAGACGTGGAGCTTTTGGTCTTCGGGTTCTGTAGGGCGTCTATCTCCCCCCTCCCCCCCCTTTGTGCGATAGGAATAGGTTCTCGTATCTCGCGGTGCCGGAGAGCGGGGTCCTCTTAACTATTCCTAGCACACAGGGTGGTGGGGGGGAGGAGGTGGCGGCCCATAGGATCCGTAGGTCGAGGCTGTGTACCTTAATTATTCATACCTTGTTTCAGCCACCTTGCCTAGATGCCAGACCTAGATGCCCTTTGTCTGTACTTAGTGTTTTTGTGTTGCGTTTTCTTTTATTTTTTGGATTTTTGTGTTGTATTTTATTTTACGAATGGATTTTTGTGTTGCATTTTATTCCATTATATATAGCCAATTAATCTCTCTGCAGCTGTTTCATTTTCGTGGATTTTTTTTTTAAAGGAATGGTTTATGAAAAAGCTGGAATGAGTAATAAAGATAATTAATGATGAAACGCTAAGCGAGATATTTCACGACCTTATGAAAGATGCATCACCTTAAACTCACTAACTTTTCTGAGGACAGATGCAAATCCTTGATCCTAATTGTTCCATTAACTTCATTCTTAACAAGTTGGTCCTTTTTTCCAACCTATTTTTTTTCTTCTTTACTTTTTAAATTTATTTTTGGGTTATGTAGAAAGAAGACTATTTTATCTTTTCATCGTGTATAATATTTGCGTTTATTGATTTTCCACGGGCGAGAACACCTTACGTCACATTACGTCAGTGTACAGCTTTGTGACGTCATCATGTGGCATTTTACGTTCACCTCATGTAGCTACGTCACCTTACATCATGTATGTGACTGTGCGTTATATATATATATTTTTTACGTTATTCTACGTTACCCTGCGTTATTTTGCGTTGCTTTACGTCACCTTACAGCGTGTTATGCCATTGTACGTCGCTCTAACGTCATATCTAGTACGGGATGATACGTCATTGCATCCATCGCGTAAGTAGTCTGACTTTGCTTAATGGTACGACCATTTCAGATACATATATTTTCGCTTATCTGATTATGAAATGTAGTTGGTGTATCTTGAATAATTAATAACTGCACTCTCACAAAGCTCATTCAAACTTTCGTAAAAGGAAAGACAAGAGAAATTCACATTACGAACAGTATTACAGCAATTAATGTTTATGTTTGTTTTACTATTTTTCTGTTCCCGTTTCATTATGTATTTTCTCTTGTAATATCCTATGTTCCTATCTTCGTATTTTCCATTATGGGATATTCTGTTACGTGAGGAAACTGTTCTGAGTATTCCCTCGAGATTATATGTATATATATTCTTTTATTTTATCTTGGGAAAAATATTGTGAACATCCCCCCTCCCCCCTCCAAAGAATTCATTAAATGGGAAAATTCACCTCTGAAAATGGAGTCGTCAACATTGATATATTCCTAGGGTTTTGAGATGATATTTGCGTTATTTGATAATGAATGAATATTGCTAATTATGTAATGATGATAATATGATAATGATCGTAATTATGATGGATTATGTTGATGATGATGATAAGAATGAATGATGATAATAGTAGTGTTAATGAAAAGACGATTATCGATGAGAAAATTATGGTCATGTAATCATAATGGTGAAATAAAAATGATGATGATTATGAGGAGGAGGAGGAGGAGGATAATGATAATGATGATAATAAAATGATGATGATAAGGATGATGATTATAATATGGATGACGATGATGATGATGATAATAATGACGATCATAAAAAAATAACAATAAAAAAGTTAATTATAATACCATTATCTTTATCATTCTCATTATTAATTACCAATTTAATACTAAGAATGGCCATGAAGACTAATACGTAACAATCATTATAATTAATTAAAGCAGATCAAATCCAGATCACGAAGCTCCGTTCCCTACAGCCCAGAAAAGGGATTTGCGCGGACTCGGTTGCAGGACGAGTGTTGCAGGACGAGTGTGCAGGATGCTCCCCTTCCCCTTTAGTTAGATGCAACATTGCAACGTACACGAGTCACGAAGCGAATAGTCCCCTCTTTTTTTTTTGAGTGTTTGCTTTTGTTTTAGTTTAGTTTGAGTGAGTTTGTTTTCTTTTATTTTTTTGTATCTTTTGTGTGTGGGTTTTCGTTCGTATTTTATTTATTTATTTATTTTTGCTTTTTTTACGTTCGTATTTTTTCGTTGTATTTTTTTTTTTTCATTATGAAAGGAAGTTTAGTTTTTGTTTATTCAGTGTTATTATTATTTTTTTTTATTGAGTTAGAAGTGGTTGCCGGATTTAATTTTCTTTGAATATTTTCGGGGAATGTTGATAATAATGGTTATGGTAATAATTATACTATTATAATGATAATAATGATTATTATTATTATCATTATTATCATCATCATTATTATTATTATTGTTATTATTATTATTGTTATTATTAT